TCTTGTAGAGAAAATCAAGTAGATCATTTCTAGAAAAAACCTGAACTCACTATCCAAATTCCATCGGGAGAAAAAAAGCAGCCGCGAAAAAATACGCAATAATTACGCATCAACCTAATAGTTGTTGCAATTAGTCAAGGTTGAGACGTCAAGTCCAAGTTGTCTAAAATCGCCTTCCACTGTCGCCATGAGTCACAACAAGTTATTCAAACTTCCTACATAAACGTCACTTGTGAATGATTTTTTACAATTCCGGAGCAAGAACAGGTGAGGCACCGCGGGCTTGGGAGCTTCTTGAAGTAGAGGAGCGGCGGGTGTCGATGGCTTCTGAGGCACTGATTGAATTGCAGCAATAACTGCTGAGGGAACTGTGAACCGCATGGGTGTAGCGCTCACCCGATACAATCTCTAAGTCCTTATGTGGCCTTATCTAGGTCGCTTTCAGACCTGACAGTCCCACATGTGATATATGGGGGGCCGCAAACATATCCCAAAGGTGAAATCTCAGACGCCATTTTCAGCATGGACCGAACCTTCGAAAACACCAAGTCAAAACAAATAATAATATTTTATTGGAGTATTAGAAGTTAGACACCGTCGAGTAGAGCTAAGTTGACAACTTGTTGAGCCAATCAGTAATGAGTAATAGGAGCAAATAATACATATGTACAGGCACTATTTAGTCAAATAATCATCTGCCAGAACTTTAGATACTCCTAGTTATACATATTTTTTAAAATAACTTTTGTATATGGGTAGTTTTTGTCAAAAAATGCATTTTTAACATAACTTTAATCGTAAGACTGCTGGCATTCTCATTATTTAGGCTAATTACAATTCATTTCACGTTGGGAGGATGCGCAGGCACCCTGGCTGCGTCTGCTGGCATGATTGGGACTGGTGGTGGAACAGATCCTATTGCTTGAGCCGGAACTGGTGGCGTTGTAGGCTTTGCTGCTGTAGGACCTGGAGCAAGAGGCATAATGAGAGCAGGTGCTCTGACCTCAGATTTCGGAGCAAGACCAGGTGGAGCACCAGCGATCGCAGGCTTGAGAGCTTCTTGGAGTGGAGGAGCGGCGGGTGTCGATGGCTTCTGAGGCATTGACTGTTTTGCAGCAGTAACTCCGGAGACAACTGTGAACATTACGGTGATTTGTTGTATGTCATTGGGCGATAACTCCTTGAAAGCAGCGATAGGATCAGTTGCGCCCTGCGGTGCTAATCCCCACTGGACTACCATTTTGTCGTCCTTCACTGGTCCTGGCATGCGAACCACGGATATCGGATACATGCCTATTGCATCGACGAAGCCATACGCTGGCGTTATGCGGTAGTCAGTATTGTTCGAACATTTCACTTTGAATACTGTCCGAGCATCGCCAGCATTCAACACATTGAAGGTGGCCTTTCCACCATAAGCCACGAACGTCGTCTTCAATGGATCAATCGTTATAAGAGCCCTGAACAAGGATTCAATTGCTAACAGTGAAAACATGTCTGAAAGATGAGCAGGAGCTTACTTTGGAGCCTCCGGTTTCCCTGTTTCCAAGTTCACATCCTCATAGTTGCCATCACCCTACAGAAGAGAAAATATGCAAATGTACAAGAGTTAAGTGAAAAATGTAGAAGTTGAACTCACGGGATCACTTTCTGGGACATTTTCAGCTGAAAAACAATGAGCTTACACTGACACTAAAGACTGTCTGAAGAGTTGTATTTTCTGTTCAATGATTACGTGCATATCAGTCGAATCCTAAGCAAACGTGGTTCAATATTCACCTACGCTCATACCGGTGTAGTGGCAAACGGTTCACTACCACCGACGCACAGTCACGCGTTCGAATCACAGATTAATATCCGCCTAAACCACAACCAAGGTTTCCATCCCTACGGGGTCAATTGTACAAGATCATGCACAGCCGCGTGTTGAGTTCTCTCATCAGCTTCTACCTATTTGAAGTCCTTATAGCATATTCAAAGTCGCATTGATCTTCATTTTCGGTATTCTCTTGCCTATCCACCGCGCAACAGCCCCCAACTATCCCACAATGCACATCACCACAGCTTGAGCGTTGCTGTGGAGCTGGCATGCATGGTCAATAACTGCCCTTCCAGTACATACCCGCAATATTCGTGAGAAAACCTTTATCGTTAGAAAAGATTGTTGAGAAAGTAAACCAGTAACTCACTCTGAGCCAGTGATAAAGGCTTGGTTTTAAGCGCTTCAGTGTCCAACGCCGTCATTGCCTCGGTTACTCCATCCTTCTTGAGAGTTCTGGCCAGGGTTCTGGCCAGGGTTCTGGCCACGGTTTTCCCTTCATCTCTCTTTGGAGCTGTCTCTACTTTCTCTACTTCTCTTTGTTTCACAGGAGTCGCCCTGATTTGACTTTTCACTGGCAGCGGTTCCCTCGCAGTGACGGGAGCCTTGGGAGGTTCCCTCGCGGTGATGGGAGCCATAGGAGCCTCTTTTGGTTTGGGTAACTCCGCTACCTTGGGAGGTCTTTTTCGTTCACTGTGGTCGCGACTTTCTTTTACGCTGATATTGCGATGTTTTCTTATTGATCTGCTGCTGCTGCTTTCCCGAGTCGTTGATTCTGAAGCCACTGTCTCTGACAAAGCTTTCTTCCGTGAGCACTGGGTTGCTTGGGTTACGCTTAATAACACTGGTAGAATGTAGACGACGTAAATTAATGCAGTAGTATAGACCTGAAAGCTGTACGGATTATACCAACGAAAGAATGAAACCCATATAAGTCAGGCATACCGTCAAGCTCATTTCAATGAGCCATCTGACAGCCGTCATGATCTAAGAAGTAACCTCACCGAGGTTCACTTGTTGGCTCGCTCATTTCGATACGGATGAATCATTATCAGTAGGTTGATTCGCACCAATCGCATCGCACACCTAACTTTAGCCACCCTCATTTCTACATCAAAGACGGGAGGCCCGGTTACTGAAGCCCCTACAGGGCGCTTTCTTGGGTGGTGCAGTGGCTCACACACACGATCAGGGTTCGAATTCCTAGCCAAGACTTTAGGACTTTTTAGACCTGGGTGGTGAAGTTGATTTTTTTTCTCAGCGCTATAAGTGAAGGTCGTCATAGTAAAAGCCAGGAGCGAGTGATGTTCAAATACCCCAACTTGCTTATCTGAACATGGTCTTTTACAACCCGTGTAGACGCCACTTTTGAAGACAATGTAAGTGTGAGTGCTCCCCCACCGTCGTAGCTTTAAGTATCATATTAGTGGAGATTACTCTATGGTAAAGGAATCTTAGACCATGTTGAGCTGTGTGAAGGCTGAAAGTATTATCATATATGGAGAACCATGAAAAATTTGTTACGTTGCAAACAATTTTTAGCCCACAGCTTCTGTGATTCTTTTGACCACAATTAAGTGTGGCTGCTATGATGTACTTGACCTCAAATAAAAGCAACGTTGACAGCTTTGTCGGAGAAGTTCGAATGAAACAACTTTGACAGCTTTTCAGGAGTTTTTTTTCAGAGTCGAAGCAAAGGTGGTAGTAATAAGCGGCGCACTATCTCACAGGCGCGGTCAAGGGCTCGAATCTCGCATCGATATCCGCCTAGACCAACCAAGCGTTCCATCTCTCCGAGGCCTATACAATAATTTGTGGTGGCCATCTGTTGTACAAGTCAATACTTTTATCCTCCCAGACTCGTCTTTTATCCTCCCATACTTTTATCGATAAAAGCACTGACTTGTATATCAGATGGTCACCACAAGTTATTGTATAGGCCATATACGCATTCAATGCGCCACTACGATTCCAAATGGAGCTCGAATGCGTTGGCGCATCCCTCAGACGGAATGGGTTAAAACCCCGAGAGTTTATCCTTTATCCTTACCTAAAACTTCCCAGGCAATGGATTGAAAGCTTGTTGAGCCTGAACTCGGACACTTGAAGGGATTGGAGATTTACTGGCTGCAAACATGGATCGCTTCAACAGCGTTTTTCGTCTACTTTCGTCTGGTCCTTTTTCAATCGCAGAGGCGTAAAGAGAGTGAAGACAACTTTCGTGATGTTTTCTGCTCGGCGATGAAATGCAGCCATTATGACAGGTAGGTAAGAAGTGATGTGTGGACCGAGAAGGAGCATTGAGGTAAAAAGGAGCCGTTACTCAGCATTCACTACCATTAGCAAAGAGTGGTGAATCGCAAGCCCTCGAAGCGTTTACCATCTGCAGAAATCTTCTCAAAAATTGAAGGAGTGTGTATTGCGTAAAAGGCGAAGAATGCACAGCATCAAACGAGATACCTTCCTTCCTCTCATATGACCTCTGGACCAAAATTCATGAGGAACGGCAAACGAACACTACAGCAGCTCAACTGTGAAGTCTGTCCGTTCCTGAGC